CGCAGATTTTTTTTATTTTTATTTTACAAAATGTCTTGACAAACTATTTTTTTTAGTCTCGTATATGATATCCTTTATCATTTTTAAAACATTTAAATGGACTCTGTCCGAAAATAGTCGTGCAAGTAAATTTTTTTCCTAAACTGGTCCTCCAATGTGACATCTATGTGACGATGACATATCAGCCACGTTAGCGCCACATCAGCAACGGCGGGCCAGCATGGCGAGTCCGGCACCAGAGGACCATTTTAGCGATAAAATTTTACTTACGAAATTATTTTTAGACAAAGTCCACTTAAAATCCTAAAATAATAAAGAAGATCATATACGATACTAAAAAAAATAGTTTATCATATTCATTTATATATATATATATATATGACTATTAGGGGCCACTTGGATCCCTTTTTAGAAATGGGCCCTAGGCAAGGGCCCCTATGGCCATGGTCAGACCTGGCCTCCATAACTAAATAAGCAGATTATAGAACACAACACAATATATAACTAATACAACAAATATTAATACAATATAGTATAAAATATTATATAATTATTTGTAACACAATATATGCTTACTTTACCATGAGATATAACTCACATAACACATACTTCTATATAACATAATATATACTAGATGTTCTTTTATAACGTGGGAACCTCCAACTGCTATCATTCGGTTGCACGGTAAACTTTTGGCTGAACCTAATAATCTACAAACTAAATTCGACAAAGCATGTTAATGTACTAACTTGGTAATGTGTTATATGCATTGTGATTATTATAATTTCAAGTTAGTTTGCTAATTTGGTCAATACTCTACCCGTCGTCTATAAATAAATATCAAATTACCCCTAACTTAAAAATAAATAAATAATCATTCCATTTATATTTTCAAAGGAAAAAATATCAAAACAATGTTACCCATTTCCATCAATCATTAAAATACTATGATTTTTTAATCTACTATAAAAATAAATAAGTACATTGAACTAGGACGGAGGGAATATATCATGCGACATATTCAATATAAATTGACAGTACACATACCTTACAACACAATCAGTATGATGTCGATATATCTCCAATTAGCACCCTAACCAAAGCATATATAATTGTAGTTACGGTACTGATTAAATATAATCATCATTCTGTTGATATTACGGTTTCCTTAGGCCATCCATATCAGTCCACACGTTAGATTAAAAAAAAAACTTAAAAATCAAATTCTTTCATACCAGGGTGTAGCGTCGGCAGCATTGGTGTAAAACTCTGACATGAGTATAATTGGTAAAAAAAAAAATTATTTTTATTTATCTTTTATACAATTTATTTTTATTATATATATATATATTTATTAATAATTTTTATATATTTATATATTATAAAATTTTATTCTTTACAAAATAATATCAATATTGATATATTTTTTTAATAAAATTTTAATTAAATATAATCAATTAATAATAATAAAAATTTAATTTTCTAATTATCTTATAATTTATTCATTAAATCATACAAATAATTAAGATATATATAATTACATAATATGTTATTGAATTTTTTTTAAAAAAAATTAAAAATAATATAAATTACAACATCGGATGTAAAATACATAATAATAATAATAATAATAATAATAAATATTTGTTATTATTTATAAATTAAATTATTAAATAAATAAATAAATATTAATAAATATGTATATTAGATAATAAAGATTATTATTATTTAAATTGTTTTAAAAATAGATAATTTAATAATATGGAAGAAATATAAATTAAAATTTGTGTAAAAGAGTTTATTTGATGGAGGTATAAAATGAAATGAGTTTCTCTGATGACATGGTGGAGGAAAAATATAACGTGGAGGAGAGGAGATAGATGAAAGAAAACCCATGTAGGGTTTCATCGATACCGATGGCCTTATGTTCCAACTCAATCCACTATTTTTACCATTTTCATATGTGCTAATTAAAATATTTATTTTCATTTCATTTGTACTTTCAAAAATAAAAATATTAAAATAATTTTATACACTTATGTCAATCAATAAAATATTACTCTTTCTTAATTTACTAAAAAAAAATAATAAATAAGTATACTAGACCGAACATGAAGAATATATCACACAAAAAATTAAATATAAATTTACCGCACATACAATCAACATAATGCCGATAAATTCTCGATTAACACCCAAACCTAAGGGTAAATATTTTGTTAGCATCGTTGTTTTCTTAAATCTTTTAAGGAAGCATTTGTAATATCTTATAAAATAAAAAATATAACGATTCAAAAATTCAATTCAAATCCAACGCAAAAGAACTTTGCTTGGGCCTTCAAAAATAGACCCAAAAATTTTTTAAGCGCCTCCGGCCTATGAAGGTCAGGTCGTGTCTGACCCTGTCCGATTTATTAAATATATTTTTTAAAAAAATTAAATTATCTTATATGTATATTAACTAATAAAATAACATTAAAAATCAAATGAAGGTTTAATGGTAAAAATCTTAGTAGTTTTTTTTCCAAGTTAATTTAAAACTAAAAAACTAAAATAATTAAATTTAAAATAAATAAATAAATAAGAGCAGGTCGGCCACACTCACGCCAGGTTTTAATCAGATTGTGCTTGGGCGCACCTTTCCCGATTTGGAATCGAGCCGTTCTGGCCCACCATGATTCAGGATCGGTTTGGGCCGGCCCGGCACGAAGAAACCGAGCCGGCCAAGTTTCCAGCCCTTTTAATATGTATCTATTATAAATTAATTTATATTAATATTTGTAAAAAAGTATCATTTTAAAATATTTTTTATTTGATGAAATAATAATTAAATATTACTCTCTCGTCTAAATTTATTCTTATTTTTCGGTTGTCATCCAAATTTATTTTCGTTTCTTTTTTTAGTAGAAAAATACTCCCTCCGTCCCAATACAATACTCTTGTTTACCATTTTTGTCCGTTCCAAAATAATAGTCTCATTTCCATAAATAATCATATTACCATAAAATTATCCTTACTTTTTTATTATTATTACACAATTGCCACTATTTTTTACACTAATGGCAATAAAGTCATTTATTCTTATTTCTTATCTACTATCAAATATAATATCAATATTTTTTAAATCTCTTGCCCAATACAATAAGACTATACTTTTGGGACGAATGGAGTACCATTTTTTCTACTTTTTCTTTACCCAAAAAAGTAAAAATTTCTATTTTTACCTATTCTTAAAATTCATGCCCGGTCAAATGAGAACACAATTGAATAACGGATATAGTAACATATATATTTTTAATATTAATATTTTATGTAGTGAAATTATTTTTTTTAAATGTTACTATATCAATTGTAACTCAACATATGTGCAATTAGATAATAAAAAAATAAAATGACTTTGATTATGTAAATGCATTAAGAAAAGAAAAAGAAAAAATCGTAACTATAAAAAGTTTAAAAATGCACAATACATTAAATTTTTTGAATTTGGTTGTTGGTAGAAATAATTTATTATGACATACCAAAATTTATAACCGTATATCTTATTTCGTATCCAAATTTTATCATATTTATACCATTTCAATAACTTGGTACACCAGATTTACAGATAAAAATATATCGAATTACCGAAATAACACGCATATCGTATAAAAATAATACCGAAAATTCCTAAATTTTGATATGTTATGATACCATATCGAACTTTTCCGATAATGTAACCATATACAATTTGATATTTTTAAGATATACAAACCATAAAAAATTAATATTTTGGTATATATACTGAATTTTGGTACGGTATCGATAAACAAACCAAAAAATTCGGTAAGGTATAAAGTATAATCCGATTTTTTTAGTATACCGTACCGAGTCATCTCTAACTGAATTCCATATACGGTATCAAAATATAATATTTTATGCCGAAATACTAAATAAAAATTAATTTTATAATAGTGTGCCGTAAATGAGTTTTATAATTTTTTTATCTTTTTTTGACAAAGAAAAAATAAATTCAAAATCAAATTTTACCATTGACTAATTCTTCGATCATAAAATATCAAATCAAGCATTAAATTTGTATATATTACATTAAAAATTAATCTAAAATTTTAAACATTACATAAATATCTATTTATATTATATTAAATATTTATTTTAATTTTTATTATTAAAAAATTTAGTCCAACTTTCAAATTTATTATCCAGCAAAAAATAAAATTAAAAATATTAATAATTTTATTAAAATGTAGTTAAAAATTTAATTTTTTAATTATTATTTACTAATTATTGCTATATTCGAACTAATTTGATAGAAAGCCTATAAAAAAGAAAGATGAACTCATTTGATAGGACGAAAAAAGTATAATTTTATTTTTAACATTCATTTTAGAATAATTTTAAAATATGTGCAATATATTCTAATTAAATACGTTGTATAGTCAAATTTATTTTCACTTTCATTTTCTACTAAATTTATCCTATTATTAATTTTGACAAAATCTGGCGTTTAATCTTATTTACAAGAAATATCACTAATTCTATCACATTCCCTCTTCATTTACTTTCATTTTTAAATAAATTTTCAAAAATATTTCTAATTACTTTTTTAATTTTATTATTCTTTCAATAAAATATTAAATTTTTTAATCTAATAGATTAGAGGGAGTATATCTCGTTCCTAACATTGCAAAAAAAAAAAAAAAACATCACACTGAAGCACCCGAAGTTACCTAGGCTAGGCATACTTTCCTAAGAAATCTAAACATGAAAAAATAGTCAGTGTGGACTCACAGAATTGACACCTTAGTGACATGAAGTCAGGTCTTCGTTTCATCATAATAATAATAATGATCATACACAATTGATGACTAAAAGAATTCCTCTTCTCAGCCTTAACAACATGGAAAAGGATTCATCAATTCTATCCAATCTTAATCATGATGATCATTTATCCAAGAATGACTCTAGTTATGTTATCGAATGATTAAACAACCACTGAATTATCTAAAAAGTAACAAATTACTACTTACTTGATAGTTGACCTATACAAAAAGTATCTACTGAATTATAAGTTCAATACAATCTGGGAATTCCTTGCTCATTTGCATCTCTCTACTTGCATTTTTATACAAGAAAAGAAATAATATGAGGATAGGATGGGATGGGATGGGATGGGCGACACACACTTACCCAACCTCAAGTCTCAACTACAACTACAAATCTACAATTTACATAACAACAACAAAATCTTCAGTTAACTCTTGACCCCGGAGGCTAAAAAAGTAAAAACACCACCCAAAATGGGAAGTTTTGGATCCAACACAAACAAAAAAGAATATACAACAGCACACCATGGTTTGAAAGGGGAAAACACATAAAATGCATGATGAGTATGACACAACTAAGGACAGACGAGACAAGGCCATCAAACAACGTCAATTACTGGCAAAAAACTCATAAATTAATATAGAGAAAGTACTCTTCATGCCGCTACAATCTTTTCCCAGGTCTTCTTTAGCTAACCCATCCTTTGGTTTTTAGCACTGTGGTGATGAAATAACCCAAGAGTTTCAATACTGACTAAGAAAAGCGAAGATTTTTTTATCACCACTAAAAGGGCATAAAATATTTCATAGAAACTACCAAGTGGCTGGATATGCTCCAGTAAATTCCAGTTTTTCACAACCAATTAAATAATCAACAGTTAGACGAGATCTCCTGTAATTTAAAACTGGAACAGCTTGGCTTACCAATTTCAAATTCGTTGCTTATACTGGTCTTCCAAAATTGTGAGGTGATGCTGTGCTGGATGATGGAAGTGGTCTCTTTACAAAGGGATGGTCCAAGAGCTGAGCAGCTGTTGGGCGCAAACTTGGATCAACTTGTAGACACACAAGTATGAAGTCCCGAGCTTCACTGGAAAGTGTATCAGGAACTGGAGGCCTCTCCCCCTTTCCAATCCTATATAATGCTGCCATCTGATATAAAAAAATTAAAAAATAAAAAAGATTAGCTGCCGTGCTTTAGAAAATCAGTTGTATATTTTGGATAGAGATTCCAACTGCACAGAAATACATCAGTGCTTCACCAAAAAACTTGAGACTCAGTCCACAAAAGTGAGGGTCATTAGGGCAGTAATACCCAAGCACCCACATAAAGCAGAGATTTCCAATGATTTACAAACTGGTGTAAATTTTCATTCTTGTATTAGGAAAATATCTTCTACTATAATTATGTTTGTATCCGGAATTTCCTAGTTAACAAGGCAAGTATTAAAATTGTATCATGTGATATGAGCAATGGTAAAGACTTAAATTGTTTCATAAAGTAGAGAAATGAAATCTTCTTATAGGAAGAGCAGATAAAAACATTAAAAAGATATTGGAAGTGCAAGTTGCTATTACTTACACATTCCATGTTGGAGTAAGGAAACCGTCTGGTTAACATCTCTAGTACTGTGCATCCCAGGCTCCAGATATCAGCTGCAAGGCCATACCACTGGCTTCGAACAACCTGCAGCACCATTTTAAAATATGGGGCCATTGAAGTTAGGAAAATATACCACTCAAGACTGAACACAAAAGGATAGGAAAAGCTCGACTAAGCATCAAAATACATTTTACTTTATGCATGCAATATTAGGATGAGATGATTCCACAATGCCTTATCAAACACAATTTCTTGAGTTCACAAGACAAATATAAGCAAGATGACCATCTCACATCTTAGGTAAGTCTTGATCTGACAATTAAATGTATCATTCCAAACCTATACATGCACACATTCCAGAAAAACAAACAGAAAGTGGACTTTTCATGAATCTGTATCCAGTGCAAATGATGTTGGCACTTGGCAAGATTATAGTAAAGGAACAGAAGGTCCAAAAATTAAGGAATCATGACAATATGATGGATGATTTACAGTTATGCTTGAAAGCCCTACTGCTTCTGTTTAGCTGTGGTCGAAATTAAGAAACAGATGAAACTGATCCTTCTAGCCGATTTACATGACCTGGAACTCAATATCATTGACAACAAAAGCAGTACAGTCCCTATCTTCAACAGCATCCAATGTCTTGATCAATTAGTAAAGAAATTTGCATGTTATTTAATCACTATAGTATGTATAACATTTTTAATAACTTAATCAACTCTTATGAATAAGTGACCCCATAACTAAAGAGATCACATTTACTTCTTTTTAAATGTTATTTAGGTTAAACAATGTCTTCTGCTTTTTCAGTGGGCAGAGTTGGGGCAAACCTCAGGAGCCATCCAAAATGCAGTCCCTTTGCAAGACTTGACATCATTTAACTTGACAGCCTACAGAAGGAAGTTAAGTTTATTCACCAGTAAATATTTAGAGTAAACCATATCAAATTCTAAGAAAGGTATGTAAACGAAAAGAGAGGAAAAAAGTTAGTAACCTTTGCAAGACCAAAGTCTGCAAGTTTCACCAAGCCATTTGTGTGCACCAATAAATTTGCACATTTGATATCTCTGAGATGGATAAGAACAGAAAGATATCTATATAAGATTATGTATTTGATTTCCAAAAGATGCGAAGTACTCATAATGATAATTTCAAGACAACTTATCAACCTACCTCACTAAGTAAAAAAGAGACTAACATGCATTATGTAGGCAAACCAAAGGACCAGATTCACTAGGTTTGGGAACAGTTTGTAATTTTACAAGCCTTCAAACATGACAATGACTTACAAGTATAAAAATAAATAAATCACATTTACTTTTACAAAATTAGAGAACAGATGGTTTTGATTTTTTATTTTATTTTATTTTTTGGTAATAAACAAGTTATCTTCACTATTCATTTGTTGGTCAACCATGGCTGCTTCTATACAAATTCAGAATCAAGATTACTAAGCAAAATGAAATTATAATAGTTCTGATGAAAGGATACTGCTGTAGAAATAGAGATAAGCAGCCAAAACAATTAATAACAACAGACCACATGCAAATCATCACTGAGAGTTAGCTTAAATGCATATCCAAATTTTGAAATAATAATGTAAATGTGCAGCAACATCTAAGTATGAAGTTATGCATGACCAAAAACACCACAAAAGCAAAAGCAAAAAGTTAGTGCATGACAGGATTAAGTGTACCAATGCTGTAACATCAGATTATAAGATATGATAGGCATTTCTATCTTTGGTGGAAATAAGAGCAAACTCAAATATTTATACATATAATTCGAAGCATATAACCCCTAAGAGACTGGTGTAGTCACCTGTGGACGACATTTTTGTCATGTAGATATTTCAAACCACGTAAAATCTGCCTAGTGTAAGCAGACACTTGTGAAACTCGCATGTTGTATTTCTGGTAAAGGCTCAGAAGGGAGCCTTTGGTAATGAGCTCAAGAAAAATATATAGATGCGATTCATCCTGCAAAGGGAGACAAAGACAATTACATAAGAATCATTCATTGTTAGCAACAAACAGCTACACAGAGCTAAATATGAACTCTTTTACAAAATGTTACCTTCTTTGTGCCATAATATTGGACAATGTTTTCATGTTGAAATTGACTCAGAAGAGCAATTTCCTGAAGCATCAAAGGGAAAAATAAAATATCAAATGAGATCATGTTGGGATTAAGTGGAACTGAAAGTATAATGTTGCTCAGTTGCTAGAGAACAAAGTATGAAGAGATGCTGCCATACCTGTTCAAGTTGGAGGATCCTTTGCTTTCCCTCATCCCCTTGATCAAGCAAACAGACTTCCTTAACAGCAAAAAAGAAACCATCACTGCAGCAAAGAGAACAAATAAGATTAAAAGTCAGAGTGAAGCTTGTTATTTCAAGCAGGAGCACACATCTTCTTATGAAGCAGTCGACAAGTTTGCACGATTCGTCAAGGTATAAGGTGGTATAAACACAATTAGAGAAATCAATTAAAGGGCTGAACTGTATGTTCTCCCTCCCTCTGCTATGTTCTATTAAATCTAAGATAATCCAACCTCACAAGCTAACATCTAACTATATATCTTTCAACTTTATCAATGCATCGAACCAAACAGACTCCTCAAATTGATGCTACAAATTAGCATCAGCAATCAATATAGTAGAGTAGTATAAAACAACAAAACACTTACTCCGAAATTCCTTCGTATACTGACCCAAACGACCCACGACCCAAAAGCTCACCCTTCTGCCAGTCCTTAATAATGCGCCTAAACCTCCCATTGGGTGAAATGCTCAACGTAGGCTCTGTTGTCGTACTTGATGAATCATCATCATTCGAAGTGGTGGAAAAAGAACACGACTCCAATAGCCTACAGTTCTCTCCTCTAGCCATTCTCGCTGTATCCTGATCCTGATCACTCATTTTGCTACCAACATCCTTGGCTGCTTCCTCATCCAAACAAAACCCCCTTCCAAGATTCGGATTTTGTGTTGTGTCCCAATTGGAGCACTCTTTTTCATTCATAACAGGTATTGTAGCTGGTGTGTACGGTGGTGCCAGAACCGGTGGCCGCACACCCTTGATGCTGTTTTCACGGATTCCACTCACTCTGCCAATTGAATTACCATCATCACTAAGACCTACGTCACTAACCCTTACAGAATCCACAAATCTCTGTGATATATCATGACCAACATTAGCCCTGCTACTTTCCATATAACTAACACCACAATTCCCCTGAAACTTGTTATCAATGGCATCGCAATCATAGTTGGAAACCTGAGTTGCCTGATAAATGATAGGCTCGAAGGTCTGGCTAAATACAACAGGAGCAGAGGATGACCTGACCTTCATCGTTTCAAATTCCTCCGGCGATATCTGGAAATCGTCAATCCCCGAGAAGCCAAACGTTCTGCAAATAACGTCGAACTCACCATCAGTACCATCGACGCGGAAGCTCGTCTTGCCTCCGTAAAAATCAGCGGAGTGCGTGCGCAGAGATTCCTCCGACGAGTAACTGTAAGATGATGAAGAAGCCGAAGTCGAAGGAGAGAAGTCGTAATCAATGTTCTTCGCGGCGTTCCGGCGGTCGAGCTTCTTGGGCTTGGCAACCGCCACCGAGGCCGAGCGGGCGGAGCCGGAGTCCATGCGACTCCTGCGGCGTTCGGGACTATGGGAGGTGAAGATTTTTGGTATTCGATGCATTGTGGCCAGCGGAAGCAAAATCATCCATCAATCGGTAAAGAGAAAACTCAACTCTTACTTCGGCGCCGAAATTCAGCAGCTATTCTGCGAATTAACTTTGCAAAATCGTGGAAATTTCAGCTGCGGGTTTGCTAAGCAAGAAAGAAGTTCTTCCTCTGCCACCGCCTCCTCCTTCTCTGGCTGAGAGAGAGAGAGAGAGAGGAAGGAAGGGAGGAAGGTGGCGGAGGAGACTAGTAGAACGGCGTCGTTTGAGTGGAAGAAATGATGGAAACGCGGTCCCAAGCGACCACTAGAAATTATCCCTTCCCTTTTTTTAATACTTTTGTTGTATAAAAACCTTTTTCTATGTACGGATAGCATCATGTATCGACGTCAGCACGTGTTACATATTTTTTTATATTTATATACGTGTTCATTCCTTTTATTTACCTCCAAAATTATAGCTCTTGTTCCCTTGTTCACTAAAAAATAGTCCATTTGGTCCGGCAAGCGGTTTAAAAAAAATAATATTTTATTAAAAAATTACAGATAGTTAGAAATATTTTTAAAAATTTAATTAAAAAAAAAAGTAACAAAGTTATTATATGTGTTGTAAACAAACATGAATGGTAATAATTAAATATTGATTTGTTGATTTTTTTAAAATATTTTTCAAAAGTTTGGACAAATTTCGATACAAGACAATAGCATGTACATTATTATGAAAAGTTCCGTACAGTTGCCATCGTCCAAAGAAATCAAGATATCGAAAAAATTGCAAAGAAATCAAGTCAATTTTAAAGAAAATATGAAGAATTCAAACAGAAAACTCATATTTGGTTAAAGGCCCGTTTTTAAAAAATCGGTCGGAGTAATAGAAGGCTAAGCCCAATGAAGTAAGAGGAGTTCCAAGGAGATCAACAAGATAAATCCTCTTCAGTTGTGTTTATTTGGGGATTTGATTTTGAGTTGGAATTTAAATAATAAAAAATTTGAATTATATTGTAATATAAATAAGTTTTGATGTCATATTTTTTTAATATATAATTACTTGTTAATATAATATAAAAAAATAAAAAATAAGTATTTGATTTGATATTTTTTGAAAAAAAAAATTGATGAATAATAAAATCTGAATGATTTTCCCAATCGAAGACACCCTTCAAGTATTAATACGTAGATTTATTTTTTCAAACAAAATCTAAAGCATTAGAAGAAAAGCTCAACGTAATACAAAAAATGATCTACTTATTGAACTTATTTAAAGAAAACAAGAAGAATGGAGATATAATAATAATAATAACAATAATAATAAAAAAATTAAAGATTCGAATTCAAAAGTTATAATGAAAAATTAAAAATAATTTTATTTATTTGTAGAATTCTTCATTAACCGATTTAAAAATCAAACTTATTTATGACTAAAGGATTTATGATAAAACAATAACAAAGATGATAGGCGTTTGATTGAAATATTTTGTCATTTTATTATTCATTAGAAAAAATTGAAAAATATCAAATTTAGTATTTATTTTTTACTTTTTGATTATACTAAAAAAATATATATTCATTCAAATTATAGCATCAATACTTAATTTATATCATATCGTACAACTATTCTAATTCAAATATTTTATTTTGCAAAATTTAAATCCAAACTCTAAACTCGAAACCAAACAGCAAACACCCCTTAATGAAACTTTCATATGAGATTACATGGAATTATAGAGCCTTTATAGGAAGTTTACGCTAAAATAATTGAAGAACTTACGGGAAAATTTATAATAAGAGTTGCATAGACTTAATGGTAATAAATGAAGTTAATGAAAGTATTTGTTAGGTGAAAATTGATAAAAGGGTGACATATCAAGAAGGTATAAAAAAAAATAAGAAGAGAGGAAGAGAACACACATTGACATATACCCCAAAATTCAATCATTTTGTTTTTTCGTTTTTGTTTTTCTGATTTTTGTTTTTTGTTTTTCTATTTCTTGCATTGTCTTTTTATTTTTTCCTTTAATTTCATGCAATATATTGTATTTTTTATTTTCTTCTTATTTTTGTTAAATTGCTCTGGTGTGACTTTTTTTTTCCCTTACTTTTTTTCTATGTCTATTTTATTTTATTTTTTGTTCATATATTCATCTCTTGAGAAAGTCGAAGAACTTATCTTTTTCATCTTTCCAACAGGCCAAACACACACGGGTTATCCAAAAGCAAAATATAACAAGTACGGTATATTGAAGTTTATGTTGTATATTTGTTATCGTTGAAATTTATCGATAAAGACCCAATAAATTTAGACTTGTCAAAATCGACGTAAATTGGGTTCCCCGACCTACTCAAAAAGATATCCGAACTAGTCTCGCAACAAGATTAATGATTCTAATTGTAATGAAAAAATAATTGTTGGAATATAGGATGAAATATGTTTGAAAATGAAAGAAAACAATAGTAAAGACAAAAACATAGATGCTTATGGATTGGATTTTGGAATTGAAAATAACAATAATTTAAGAGCAAAAATTAATAAAATAGATGCCGGAAGAAATTAAACAAGCAGGAGTAAGGAAATAAAGAAAAGAATTGAATTATTGTGTTGTACAGATGTGCTCTTTTTTCTCAATCCTTTGCTGCCTTTAGATACTTGTGAATTTATTTTGTTCTTCAATTCTATCCACTCATCCGTGATTTTAGGAGCTAACTTCCTACTTTTCCCACTACGCAATCCCATTTATTTCTCAATTTTTCAACTCCTTTCAATATTTTCTTATCCAAATTAGATTTGTCTTTATCTATGGTGGACTTTTGCGCTAGTCCAACTCTTATTTGTGGTGGGCCTCTGAGCTAAACTAGGCTTTTTCGTGGGCTGGGCACTGTTCTTCATTGGACCTAAAAATCATGAAGTAACAAATGCCCTCACAAAAATATTTTGCAAGAAATTTGTGTAAAATGTCAAACTTTGAAACTCAATATTTTTGTACGAGGTTTCGGCGGTACTTCGGCTCTAGCCTCATATGGCATCATCTGGAAGAGGCAGGAAGCTGGTCCGGGTCATCTCAGGGTCAAATCCGTTGGGGAGTGCGGCAGTTGGGATTAAAGCTTCTCGATTTTCTTGGTAAAAATCCAACCGCCTCGACCTTGAAGTTGCTTTCGTACTGTATGGCTCGTTCCAAGTCTTGGTCGTTGGCTATAAATTTGAGACTGGCCTCTGAAATTCTATCATCTTCGAGAGCCCTAATCATAGGATTGTCTGCCACACTTGGAGCTTTTGGATCCTCCGGAGGAGGTTGTTCATCTGGGACAGCTTTGTTGTCCAAAATCACTCATTTTGGCCTCCATTCTTGTCGGACTCGGCGCGGGCATCGCAAACCACTCTTTTCCGATATATTTTTATTTTGATCCGTCCGTGTATGGCCTGTTCAGAGCTCACTTCCTTGCTGCCCAATGTTCATTTCTCTGGAACTAGCTGTTTGGCGCCGATGCTACTTCATCCGTCTTTGTGGTCCTGTTTTGTTTTTCCTCCAGTCGCATGCCCGACTCCAATTCCTTGGGCAATGCTCGTAACGCTGCTTCGGATGAAAGATTATCACAACTAGATCCACCGAGGCCACCTTCCATGTCTTTTCATTTTTTTCAAAATGGATTTCCGGAAATGTGTCGCTATGGTTCATCCGGTTTCCGTCGGTCCTTGCTACTGATGCGCAAGATTTTATTGGGCGTACTCCAGCGGTATTGATAGGTGCATGAGACGGTTGGATGGTCACGGAGGTCCTATCAGACCCTTCATCGACATCAAAATTGTCTTCCTTCGCATGCAGTGAATGATCTTTGCCACTGACATCCCAGAGGAGCTATTCTACCTTAGCCACCTTTGCGAAAAGTTTTCGAAATTTGTTATACTTTTGAAGGGCCAAAATTTCACGAAGTTGACACCTCATATTGTCGACTTCCATGTCGCCGACTTGCTTTTTGGGTATCCGTACCTGACATTGACATTTGGCCCTGCAAAACCTATCCAAAAACCTTCATACCGGCTCATCATACTTTTGTTGTAGATTAGTTAAGTCGGATACTGTCACTTTTGGAAGCGGGTTGTAAAACCGCTTGTGGAATGCTCTTTCTAAGTCTTCCCATGTATGCAATGAATTAGGAGGGAGAGATCCATACCATGTGAAGGCCGGTCCGGTGAGGAATAACGGAAATAGTTGGAGCTTGTACCACTCGTTTTCCTTGAATTTCCATCTACACTATGCTGTGAACCAGTCAACATGCTAAATCGTTGAGCGCGAGTCATCTCCTGAAAAAAGCATGAACTCCGAGGTCCGAGCATTCCTAGGGAGATGATGGTTGATGGTGATTTGATCCGAGAATGACCGTTGATAGTACGCACTTGCGGGTAGCCGGTTGGTGTCGCCGTAAATTTTTCGGACTACCTCTTGAATCGCCTACGGATCGATAATTGTTATGGCGGTAAGAGTAAATCGACGAGTCCTTCGGGCCGCAAGGGGGCTGGTGCTAGTCTGCCCGGGCCTGGGACTGTTCTGTCTGAATTTGACGGAGTTGACCCTTTTGGAGCTGCGGGTCTTTCTAGGTCCCTCCCGGCGTTGATGATGCTTCCAGGGGTGGCGGAGGTGGCGGATCTACATCCCTTGTCACCCTCGGAGGTGGCAGCATCGCCGAGGCTGCCTTCTGGGTAATTCCGAAGTTGGATGCGCTCCGGAGGTGGCAAGGCTGTCCTCCGGGTAATGTTCGGAGCGGAAAATGCTTCTTGAGGTGGCAAGGTTGTCCTCCGGGTCGTGTCCGAAGCTGGAGATGCTCCCAGAGATGGCGAGGTCGTTCTCCGGGCAGCGTCTGGTGCTAGAAGTGCTGCCAGAGGTGGCGGGGCTATCCTCTTGGTAGTATCTGGAGCTTGAAGTGCTCCCGGAGGTGGCGGAGTTGTCCTCCAGGTAGTGTTTGAAGTTGAAAGTGCCATCGGATGCACCTCCCAAGTCGTCTGTGGCGCCGTTGGCGCTGGATGTGCTGTCAGAAGTACCTCTCGAGTCATCTGTAGAGCTGGTGGTGGTCCCGGAGGAGTCAGAGTTGCCCCAAAGTCATATGTGGCGCTGCTGGAGCTGGAAAGTTTCTGAATGGTACCGAAACCCCCTGATTTGGACATCCGTAATCCTGGAGCTGCCTGGACGCCTCAAGAAAATTCATCTTATGGTATGCTATTTGCCCCCAATGCGGAGGCAGCGCCAATGGAGTCAGTACATTTGATCCCCACGCCACTGCGACGGCTGAAGGGGCTGATCCATAGGGTCCCGGAGAAGGTGGGGCTGC